GTATAAGTAAATGGTGGGCCATTGAGCGTAGCACCGAGATGGCTACACTGCCCCGGACAAGGAGAGAAAAAGGGGACAAAAAAAAATAATTAGTCGAGATTTTTGGACCACCTTTTTCTCCTCTAATTAATGACCAAATGAAGTAGGTAAGGAAAATGAAAATGGCAAATACAACTGTCATTAAGCGAGTGTCAATAAAGATAATGAGATGAAAAGAATACAAAGTGTAAACTTATAGAAAAGAATTCTTAGAATTTAGTTTGTTGAGGGAATCCCGAGAAGGTTCACTGAGTTTATTTTTGAGAAATACTAAATAAAAGCTAAGATGGAAGGGTAAGTTTTGAATAATATTATTTTAATTTGTAGTGAGAAAATGATTTGTTGTCTTCGTGATTTTTGCTATATTAAGAAGTTGTTTAGGAATTTATTATTTTTTGTATTGAAAGTTAAAATTATGTGAGGAATACAATCATTTCTTCTCCAGTTCCCGAATAATTCCAAAAGGGCGTAACTTAAAATTAATTTTATTTTATTAGAAAGTGTATATATATTTTATTTTTTTTTTTTTTTTTTTAATAATCCTTGCTTACTGGCAGTAGATGAATTAAGAATTTTACCAAGAATTTATGAATGAGATCAATATTTTGAGTGTTTTAAAGCCATAATTGATGTTTATTTAACATTTTGATAATTTATCCAATTCAATGTGATTTACGTGATTCAAGGTTTGTAATTCGTGTCTATTTTGCTGAGGCAAGGTTTATTATTATGTGAATTTTATTATATATTTTTTTTTTTTATAAAAGTAAAAGGAAATTAATGAATAATATATTTTTTTTTTTAAATGTTGTAGAAAATTGGCAGTTGGGGTAGAAGTTATTCGAAGAAATGGGAGGCGGCATATTATTAGATTGGATTTGTTGGGAGGGGTGGGATTTGTAAGGTTTTTGAGCGGGGGAGATCCAGATTTAGAAGGGAATTGTCATTCCATAATATTGAAAGATAGTAATGGATTTTTGGATTTGGATTTGGGAAAGAATATTTTGGTTGAGATGGATGATTCGAGTGTGAAGAAGCGAAAGTTGGATGAAGAGAAGGAGAATGAGGGAGTGGGGTGGTCTCGTAATAGTGTGATGAAAGAGAAGGCCGAAAAGAGAGCAAAATTAGCTCAAACTCAGGTTTTGAAGGAAATGTGTGGAGCATGTTCAGGGTCAATGATAAGTGGTGGACCCGGGGATGTTATCGGAAATTTGGATAGAGGTGAAGATGAGCTTGGAAGGTCTGGACTTGACAGTCGAGCATTGATCGAAGGAAGGGGTGAGGGGACTGCAGAGAATGTTGACAGTCGGAGGGAGATGGATTTTGAAAGAATGATGAGCGAAGGTGATTTAGATGTGTCCACTAGTAGTTCGGATAGTTCGAGTAGTGGATCTACTGGGAGTTCAACGAGTGAAAGCGGTTCAACAAGCGATTCATCAGGCGATTCATCTGGCGATTCATCTGGCGATTCATCTGGTGTGGATAATTCGTCAAGTCAAGGTAGTTCGTCGAGTGAGGATGAGATAGAAGAAAAGTTAATTTTAAGGAATGAGACGAAATTGAAATCTGGAGGAAATTCTGGAGAGGGCCAGATGGAGAAGCGTCGATTCCCGGTAGAGCGTGCGGTACCAACAATTACTGTTGGAGGATTGGATATTGATGGGTTGGCAGTGGTTTTGTCAGCTGAAATCGAGAATTTTATTTACAGTGAGAAGAGGGAGATGTTAAAGAAGGTTAACGCTGAGGATATAGATGGAGTGAATGCTCGATTCTTTCAGCAAGAAGAAAAGGTGAAGAAGGTGAAGGTGTCTCGAATGTGTCACGCGCAACGTTTCTGGTTGGCAGCTAAGTTTTTCAATATGAAAGAAGCTGATTTCGTCGGTAGAAAACCATCTCAGGTAGAGATTAGTAAAATTTTTGGGATAAGGCGAGATAGTTTACGGAGGCATTTGAGTCAACATCCAAATGCGAGTTATAGAGATTTTGAGTACGTGTCGCCTGTGGAGACAAGGAGAGGAAGGTTACGGCAATCAAGGTTTTATTATGAGTTTGCCAGTAACTATGAAGATTTAGTACAAAAAGGTGAAATAACGCGATTTGCAGGAAAGGAAGGAAGGTGATGGGTTTTAGTAATTTGGTAAGAGCTTTCTTAAGTTATAAGTTTTTTTGTGTGTAAACATTTTTTTTTCTTCTTATTTTTTAATGAAATTGCTTAAATCTAACTTTATGAATAAAGAACATGTAAAAGATTAAAATGTTGTAGATTGTTTGTTTGTTTTTTTTGTATTTTAGTATTCCTGACATAGGTAGTCCCGAACGAAAATTCTCACATTCATTTTAGAATTGTTCTGAAGAAATTTTATTGAGTTTGATCCAAAGTCGTCTCTCACTTCGTCATAATGATCGACCAGGGTTAAACGTCGCATTTTTTTTTTTTAATTTTTGCCAGTTTTAAAAGGTTTTTGACGCTTGTGGAAGAGAGTCTGTAATTGATTGTGAATTTTGTTAGGTTTTTCAAGAGATGAGAATTGTTTATCAGAATAGAAATTGTTTTTCCCAATTCGAATTCGTCTCTTGATCTACCAGTTATGGTAATTTCTTCGAGCGTGTGAAGGGATTTGAGAAGGTGTAGAGGGTGTAATTTTTGGGTCCGGTTCTGTAGGGGAGGGGTATGATGAAGTTTCTGAGAATACAAAGAGTTTTGGAATCTTATGCCCCCGGTTTTTCAATAGTGACGATATTTGATGGAGAGGGGGACGAGGGGCGATTGTTTTCTACGGGATAGAATGTGGGAGGGGGTTCGTTGATCTCTGGGATATGGCGGACGAATAATGGAGGAATTTCGTCCAAATTGCCGCTTGCTAATTTTTTAGCCAGCTTTGTCCAGGTGCTTAGACTGAAAAAACGAGAGTAGAAGAACCAGATGACGATGGCTATTAAAATGATAATGATAAGGAGTGAGGAGCCGAAGAAAGAGTATGATTTTTTAAATTTTCCAGCATTTTCCCATTTAAAATTGCTCCATTCTCTGTTGAAATTATTTTTTTCTATGACTTTATCCGCTTTCTCAATAAGTTGCTTGTAATCGGCAGAGTAGTCTTGAATAAGAATGTTCTCATCGATGTCGGGAATTGTAATGTTTGATAGGAAATTTATTTTTTCGAAAATGCTTTCGAAGGTTGTATTGATGGTATTGAAGCCCAAATCAAGTACTTCCTTCGATTCGAAGCGATAATTCCAGCGAGGTCGAAGACTTATCTTATCTGTTACTACCCTGCACTCTTTATTTATTTGGAGAATTCCGCTTGATTTAATTTCACGAAATTTGGATGGTTGGTTGTGGCAATATTCAGTTACGATGATTGGTTTGGATATTAGAACATAGAACATATCGTTGTTGTTTAGGGGTATGAAATAATTTGAGTTAGGGATTATTTTTATATCGCAATATTTTTTGAGGACTTCTTTATTGGGATTCATGAATATACTGATTTCGCAGTTGTCGCTGTAGTCAATGCGAGCGTTTTCGGCGGGTTTGAGGATTTTTTCGCCGTGAAGGTTGAATTGCCCCTGATTGAATTCTTTGATCGAAATGGGGATATATTCTTTGGCTTCGTTGTTCAGGAGGATATAATGGAAGACTGGATTAATGATTATTGTGTGATTCTCGATTTTGGTTGGGGTCGGAATTATTTTGTAAACCGTATAGACTTCACGTTCAATGATGGGGATGGTTAACTCCATGAGTAATTGTTCTCCGTAAAGAGAGGAGGCTACCTGGGAGTATTTAAAGATGTGAAGTGGGTTTTCGATGTTAAAATTGATAGGTAGTCTTTGGTTGTCTTTTAATTGACTTTCTATTTTTAGAAGGTCTTGTTGGAGGCGGTCTTTTGGAACTAGTTGGGTAATCTTACCCGAAATGACGTCTTCTAGGCATTTTAGGATTTCCCTAGAAATTTGGGCATGTTGTGTCATGATCAAAGTTGCCAATTGTATGCCCCGGGAGAAGACATTTTCAGAGTGTAAACCATCAAGCCATTTTTTGCCATTCGATACATAGGTTTTTATGTAGTTCCGAAGGGAGGATATACTTTTTTGGAAATCAGATGCTGTTTTATTATTAATTTCGATAACCTCTTTAATTAAAGCTGTTTGGTCTTCGATAATATTGAAAAAGCGGGTCGAGTCGTTTTTTAAATTTTCTATTTTATAATTATACTCCCGAGCGGTCTCGGCCGTCATTAGGCCGTAGGCCCAGTGGAGAGCTTTACCGATTATTTCTATGGCTCTTCTTGTTTTGGATTGTTTTTGTTGATAAGCCTCGATATCTAATTCGTTTCTTCTCATGTAATTCAGACCTATGTTGACATGTCTAAGAATATTACCACAACTATCACCGTTAATGTGACTACACAATACGGTTGAATTATCTATGAATGTTTCTACCAATCTAGTTAATTTCTTATATTCTGAGATGTCGATGTAGTATAGCATCGTATAGCTGTCGTAAGAAATACGGGCCTCTGATAGCTTAATGAAAGTCAATCCAACTTTCTGGTCTTGTTCTTGGTAGTCGAAACTCGAATAGCTTCGCAGAGATGAGGCTATCAAAATTAAGGTGAGAGGGATCCTCATCTAATTCAATCAAGAGAAAGAAGGTTGAAGGGATAGTAAGTAATAGGTTTAATTTTTATTGGGGTTAAAACTAATGGGGGGGTCTAATTATTCAAGGATATTTCGTAAATTAGATTTATATTATTTATGTAATCATCGTCCATGTCATCCAGCGAGATGATTGGGATATTGCTTGGAGGTTCGCGATCGTGTTCTGCGATTGATTTTTTGATTAAATTTTTGTGGATTTTAGTGCGTTTTCCATTTTTGTTTATTTCCACGTAACTTTCTGATACATCTGTTACTCTGAATGGGCCCTCATATACATTGGAGAATTTGTGTTTTTTAACTTGGCTCTTAACCAGTACCAAATCGTCGATGTTTACCTCCAATTCGTTGAGGTGAGAGTCGTAGTATTCTTTATTTTTAATTTTTCTGTTAAGCAAGTGTTCTTTAGCAATTTCTAAAGCACTGGCTATATTGTTGCGGGTCATGTCTGCAAAGTTGTCGTAGTTGTAGGAAAGTTTTGGTTTATGAAGATTGTTAGGGATTTGTATCTTAAATCCGTGTGCTAGTTCGTGAGGGGAGTAGCCCGTGGTTGTGTGAATTGAGTTATTGTAAGCGAAAGTGGCGTACCTCAAGAGTGAGTGCCATTCGTCTTTGTTTTTGGAAGTGAAGGCTCTCAAGAAGGCGTTTAGTGTTCTATGAGCTCTTTCCACTATATTAGCCTGAGGGTGATATGCCGTGGTAAAGATTTTCTTTATTGAGAAAAGGTGAGTGAGTTCTTTGATGACTTGGGAGGTGAAATTGGAAGCATTGTCGGAAATTAATCGACTGGGGAAATTGTAGCGACAAATTATGTTTTCCAATATGCAGTTTGCTGCCGTTAGGGCTGTCGAATCCTCTGTAGGTACGGCGATTAGGAATTTTGTTAGGTCGCAAATAGCTGTAAAGATATATTTGTGGCCTCCCGAGCTACGTGGGATTGGGCCGACAAAATCTATGAAAACATGGTCAAAAAGAACCTCACCGAGGCTAGAGATTTGCATTGGCATTCTGGTGTTGGTGATTGTTTTTGTTTTTTCGCAAATGGCGCATTTTTTAACATATTCTCTTATGTCTTCAGTCATATTGTTCCATTTGTAGAAACGGGAAATTGTTTTATGCATTTTGTCAGAGCCGAGGTGGCCGCCCAATAAAGATTTATGGTAAAGATCCATTATTGAGTTTTTATCCTCGTCTTCAGTTATTTCGATAATTTTATTAAGAAAAAATGTGGTGGAGATGGTTGAGTCTGAAAATACATCTTGGAAAGCATTTTTGAAATACATATAGTGTCTAAGATTTTCGTATTCCAAGTTGATTGCTATGTTTTCAGCGTTTTCGTCTTTTGAAATATTTAATATGTTTTTGATGCATTTCATAGTTTGATTCATGTTTGATTTGTTGGAGAATTGATTAGAAATTTCAATGGCATATTGTGAATCTTTGATTTTTTGCCATGAGTCTCTGAAGATTGTAATGGCCAATTTATTCATCAGTTTTTCTTTTAAGTCGTTGGTTTCTTTAGGGATAATATGAAAAATTAAATCGAAGCCTCTTTTGTTTAAAATGGTTCCGGTCTTTTCTTCGATGATGTAGTTTTGTTTATCAATTGATTGATTAAGTTCTTTTCTGGCCTGAGCGCGAGTTAAGGTTAGGCAGGATTCCTGTTTTTGATTTGCTTCAAGCATTTCTGAAATTGATAGCGGTTCGATTCGAGAGAGGGCGTCCGCTACGTGGTTTTGGGCGCCGGGTCTATATAGAATTTTAAAATTATATTCAAGCAGGTCGAGTTTTTGACGAAACAGTCTGGAACCACAATCTTTCATGTTGAATAGATAGCATAATGCTTTGTGGTCAGTAATTAAAATGAAGAAGCGACCGTAAAGATATACTCTGAAGGCTTTAACAGCTTCGACGATGGCCAGTAATTCTTTTTGGATAGTAGAATATCTTTTTTGGGTTTCATTAAGGACTCTGCTAAAGAAGAATATTGGTCTGTCATTGGGGAGTTCGCCCTGGGATAGCATGGCGCCAATTGCCATATTAGAAGCGTCGGTGGTGACGTAAAACATTTGTTCGAAATCTGGGAAAGCTAGGACCACTTCTTCGGCCAGGGCTCGTTTTAGTTTATCAAAGGACTCCTGTTGAAGATTGGTCCAAGTGAAAGGCTGTTCTTTTTTAAGGAGAAGGGTAAGAGGTTTTGAGATTTTGGCAAAGTTACGAACATATCTACGGAAGTAGTTGCACATTCCCAAAAAGGATTGAATGTGTTTGACGGTTTTGGGACGTGGGTAATTATTGATAGCTTCTATTTTGGCTGGATTAGCCTTTATACCGTTTTCAGAAACGACGTGGCCCAAGTATTCGAATTGTTTAGCATAGAAGATGCATTTAGAGATTTTCAATTGAAGATTGTTTTCTTCCAAAAGGGTCATGACTTTCCACAGGATCTGGTCGTGAAGGTCTTTGGACTTTGCATAAATTATAACATCATCTAAGTAAACATACACCCCCTTGCCGACCAAATTGGCAAGTATGGTGTTAATAACTCGCTGCCAAGTTAATGGGGCTGTGGATAATCCGAAAGGCATCCTTACCCAACGATATTTGAAGTTATTTGCCGTGAATGCTGTATAGTCTCTGGAATTTTCATCCACCATGATTTGGTAAAAGGCGGAATTAATGTCCAAGGTTGTGAAGAAGGAACAACCCGATAGACCGTCCAAAATATCATCGATTAATGGTATTGGGAAATTTTCAATTTCAGTGGTTTCGTTTAATTTTTTGTAGTCTACTACACAACGTAGATCAGTTTTGGTACCGAATTCATCTTTTTTTGGGATTAGCATTACAGGGGAATTGTAATTAGATTGGCACTTTTCTATGATACCCCTTTTTTCATAGTCGTTTATGATATCATTTAGTGTTGCTTTGTGCTGGTGGGGAATTCTGTATTGACGGACGTTAATCACCCTGGAACCAGGGATTATATTAATTATGTGTTTAGTAAATTCAATGCAGCCCATTTCGTCGCCGTCTATGAAAAATTGATGGGAGAATTTTCGGCAAATTTTGTCAATAAAACTTTTTTCTTCGGAAGAACAATGAGAGATCTTGAGTTTGTTGAAAATAAATTTATGTCTAGGTTTTGGAGAGGTATCTAGTGTAGGGTGTGGAGGGGCGGAGTTATGAAACTGAGGGGTTATTATTGCATGTACCCTTAGTTTGTCCATTTCTTTAAGCATTATTTTGTAATGGTTGACGGCTTCGAAATATTCAGCATAATCCTTGTTATCTTTTTCGATATAATAGTGTTTAAGAATTTCTTCGCTCTTGGCGGTATTCAATTTCATTTCATTATTATAAGATTCTTCGCTCTTGGCGGTATTTGAATTATTTATAGGGAGAAAGCCCATATTTTTTTTATATTTGTTCATTTTCTTTGCTCCATCTTTAGTGGGTTGTGTAATTTTAGTTTCAATTTTCGCGGTATTATTTGTATTTGTAGTGAGTGTACTAGATTTTGAAAGTTCTTCCTGCGCAGGAATTTCATCTAGGTTTTCGTTATCATTATTTATTTTCTTCGCGATTTCGTTTAAATTTAGTAACATGCTCATTTTAAAAATATCTATAATCGCACCGTATGGGCGTAAAAAATCGTATCCAAGATAGCCATCTGCAGGTCCGCTATATTTTCTGTCTATCAAGTGTAATGCTGTCCCCAGCAAACGACCATTGAAATCCAGTATAGCTTGGACCATACCCCGAGTTTTGATGGAAATCTCCCTACCAACTACTCCGTATAAATCGAAAATATAGTCGAATTTATTTATATCGTTTAAGAGAATATCGTCGGCTAGTAAGCTTATGCTAGCTCCCGTATCTACTAGTAATTTGATTGGCCTTTCTGTCAAATTTGTTTTAAGAATTATGTATGGTGCTCCGTTTTCATTGATTAGTTTAGTTTTAATTTCAGTATTGTCAGATTCAAGGCTATTTTTTGAAAATAATTGGAATTTTGATAGGATGTTTTGAGTGTTGTTGCTGTTTTCTTTAGTTTTAAAATTTATTGACAAACGAATTTTGTTGGATGAAATATGTTGGCCTTCATATTTCATCCGATTTAGTTTTCCGATTCTGGTGAGCTGAGAACCGTTGGAAGAGAATTGATTCTAAAATTTCTGCCAGGGTTTTGGGGGTTTGCGGGTGGTCTTTGGCCATTAAAACGAGAGTTATTTTGTTGAATTTGGGTGTCATTATTGTTTGGATTCCGTCTGAAGTTATTTCGATTGAAATTGCGTTGGTTGTCATTAGACCAAGTACGTTGGTTAGAATTGTTCCAGTTTCGGGCATAATTTCTGATGTTATTATTCCTGAGGTTCATATTGTAATTTCTTGGGTTAGTAGAGAAAATTCTGCCAGCTGGGGCATAGCCCCGAGAAGCGGCATATCTACGTGCGGATATGTCGCTATCAAATCTAATATTTTTTATTAGTCCGATCAATTGTCTGACGCCAGTGTTATGTTCTGCACCCCTGCATTCTCTTGCCCTGTGACCGGCGAGTTTGCAACGTCTACAGAAAAGTTCGGAATTTGGAATTATAGTAGCGTCGTCATTTTCAGCCTCTATAGCATAGGCTATGGCGTCTTCAAGAGAGCTTGAACCCCTTATAATAAGTCTGTCTTTAATTTTGGGTTCTCTTATGCCCTTTGCAAAAGCTCTTCTAGCTGTTCTATTGTATTCCTTCTTTTGATCTTCTGGAAGGTTTTCATACGCGCTACATTTTTCACGAAAAAGTTTACGGGTTCTTTCAGCATATTCAGTGATTGTTTCATCTTTTTCTTGGTGAATATTTTCCAATTTACTAGTGATGACCTCTTTATTGGCCAGATAAGAAAAATGTTTAAGTAATTTCCTTCTCATTTCTTCGTAGGTAGAGTCGAAAAGGTCACCGACCACACTGCGAGCCTCACCACGAATCTGTAGGTTCAGAGTCTCAATTAATTCATTTTTCTCTGCTTCGGTTTCCCAAGATTCGTTGAGAGCCTCTGAAATGTCGAGGAAGTCGCGAAGGGATTTATAATTTTCTCCATCGAAAATTGGGAGAGATCTCAAGCGACGAGCGTAAGTTTGACGTATGTGGTTTGGGTCTGCTCTTGGAAGTGTGGATAATCCGGTATTAAAATTGGAAAAATTGGGGTTCTCCATAATATTTGGATGAGATTGAGGAGGATTAGTTAAGGAGAAGGTTTGCTCTGAAGTTTGAGTATTGGATTTTTTGTTCTTTGGTTTTTGGCCGGTGGGGGCCCACGGAATATTCGTATCATTATGTAAAAGATCATCGCCAGTGCAGGAGTTGTTGATTTGTTTTTTAAGGCTGGCCATTTCGCTTTTTAAACCAGTCAACATTTGTTCGAATTGGGTTTTTTGATTGGCAATTTGGTTTTGATAAAGAATTTTTTCGTTTTGTTGAAAGGTTTTTAATTTAGAGATTTCTTCTTTTAATTGTGATACAGTTTCAGGTTGGGATTGAGTTTGGTTAAATATAGAAGGCTTTAATGAAAAAGGGGTGTTTGACACTTTGGGGTAAGCGCCACCGTAAGTGAAGGAAGTGTTTTGAGTAGGAGAAAAAAGATCTTGATTTGGGGTTATATTTGGGTTTGGAGCTTCAGTAGAAATTTGAATTTTAGGTTGAACATTTGCACCAGATAGGGTGGCGTTTATTGCGGCGGCCTCTGCGGCGGCTTGGGCTTGAGCTTGGGCTTGAGCTTGGGCTTGAGCTTGGGCTTG